GAACAAGCAAAAGTTTTTCGATTTTGAAAAAGATTAATAGAAAGTTCAGCTACAAATTGAAATAGTATTTAAAAGCACAAATAACGAACGGATAAATAGTAACAGTATAACTCGGTATATATTCACCAAATCATTGACACATAAACGTATAAATTTAGTGTGGTATCGACTAACCTCTTCGTCTTGTTTTCGTTTGAGGCGATTCTCTGTTGTAGCTCTTCTTTTAGCCGGCGGCTTAGAAAAACTGAAGACTGATGGCACAGCATCTTTTTTAAGCTTTCTTTTTCTTTTCATCCCCGTTAACTGCTCCATTAAATCCACTTCGAAGCACGAACTTTCAAAGTGCTCGCTACATACATAGCAGTTCTTCAGATTGGGTAAATTCTCCCTCTTTATTCGAGCAAGCCATGCCTTCTGAAGAGCTTGATCGTTCGGGATTTTGTGGTAACTGACAGACTCAGTCTTAACAGAATGGTTGGTGCACTCGGGCACACAACAATGAACCATTTGGAATAATAAAACTACTACAAAGATCTCTATACGCTGTATTTTGCACATGAAACCTACAAATTCTCAATGTGTGAAGAAATGCTCTTYACGTTGTGACGTCACAGGCTTAATGCGGTAATGTTCCGCGGGCTCAGATATGGCGGCATTCAATAGTAATTTTTCGCGTTTTGAAAAAAAAATTTCGGCTACAGGGAAGCTGTACATGATAACAAAGTTGGATTTTTCTGATCTACATACATTGTAGTTTTATATAAAAACGGCAAAAATGAGGGGTCAGTTGCCCTTTAAAGGTATGAACTTACAGTATAACTAGTGAAATTCTGATAACTGACAGCAAGCAATCATGTAGGCTTGGGTACCAGGCAGCTTTGACACCTAGCCTTGTACACAGGAAACCCACCAATCAAAATATTCTAAAAAGTTAATAAGATGAGAACTAGAGAAACTTTAAATGAATAAATGACWAAAAGTGTATTATCTATTCATAAAATCAAATTTTTAATAATTTCCATCAAATTAAACCCCATAAAATGCTCAAAATATAGATTTTCCATGACAAATTTGTGTAATGTCCATGACTCGAGTTTTTGCTCAATTAGCTTTCAGCTTTCAAAGTATAGCCGACAGCTATACTTTGGATTACTTTTATATTTTCAGCAATTCTAATTCAATCTATGCTTGTTTTGCTGTAGGAATTTCAAAGATAAAAAATATCCTGATGAAAGACGGTTAAAAACAGTAATTCAGACGAGAACTCAAATATTTCATTCACTGAAAACCGGTCTAGCTGTAACAAGTTGTAAATTTTAAAATACCTGTACAAGYACGCAATAATTTTTTGTCAAGGGCATCTGGAGGCCCAGCTAAAGACTCTTAAGTCAAAGAAGTGCTCCAGCAATTTGTTTAGTATTTCTGTTGTTTTTTTCCCAGCATCAACATGTATGCTGTTCAGCTGAACTGTCGATAGAAAGACACCAGCCCCTGGGTAGAGATCCTGTCTACCTTGGCCGGGAGAATAGTGATGCCGGGAGTTCGAAGTAGGACTTGCATCGGAATATAACAAGGTGCTTTGTTGTGTCTGTGAAGTCTATGGATGAGAAAAAAGTATTACKTCAGATAATACTGATCAATCAATGTTATAATATTTAATAGTATTTTTTGTCATACTTAATTTAACTGGCATATCTTAAAAGATTATTTTACATGTAATATGCACCTCAAATTCAACTGTTCCGCTTATGTTTAGCAAACCCATCAAAAAGTCTCTCACTTGTGGAGGAATTTCTGAAAGTAGACGCAATTATCACACTTTCTAGTTATTGAGCAGTAATGTCCACAATTCAATTATACCRTATTTTTAGCAAGTGTGGCTTTTTATACTAACAAATTAAACAGTAAGCATACCTGGTAATTGATTTTTCTTTAAATGCTCWATTTCTTGTTCCAGCCTTTCACAATTTGGGCATTTTGGCTGGTCATTTACGTCATTGCATGGCATTGTCGTTTCAGTCCCATTTGTTAAAATAATGGACGAATGGAGAAGTTCCCCAAAGCTTATTTCTTGATTGTCTAACTCAGTATTAACTGATGGTCCACTTTCAGTTGTTTCATGAAAGCTGTTTCCTGACACTAGCGGTGTTGATACACGCCAAAAATACTCGAAAAGCCTATGAATCTTAAAACAGTTATAGTTTCAGCATCAATTTAAATGTTTACAATGATATAGTTGTAAAGTTAAAGCAAAATCATTAGTTTTGAGCTCAATTCGATACTCGGAGTTACGGTCCGCCATTTTGAAGTCCCTGACCGGGACACAATCATGGCGGCCCCATACATTTCTTTGTAAAGTAAAACCGTATTCAAACGCTTATATTTTTGCTAGGAAATCACAGTTTTGATTCACACTTTGCATAACTGTTGGGAGTTATATACTTTTTTGATCCTTGAACTTAAAAAATTAATTTGAATCTTAAAACAAAGCTTTTTGTAGGCATTTCTTGATCAGTCCAAAACGCATTGAGCCATGCTAATCCCATTCCAATATGTTAAAATTCATTATTTCGGCTCTAAATTTCATCATGATCCTTAAATTAAGATGTTCTCTCGAAAATATTAATAAAAGTGTGCTAATTCTGCCTCTAAATATCTAGCCTGAGTATCAGGCTCTCTCGAAGGGGTTTGGGGCGGAGCGAGAAAGGAGAGAGAGCCTGACACAATCTTCTATCGAGAGCCGTGTTCGGCGGCCGTTCCATGGCCGAAACGCTGATTGGTCTAGAGGACAAAGGAAATGACCGGAAGTAAAATATATAGTATTATGTTACCGAACGGATCTACCGAACGACGCCATTTTGTAAATGAACGTAAACACTCTGGAATGACTCTTGAAATAAGCGAAGAACWGTTTGCTAAAGGTTTAGAAGATGCTCTCCAATATTTCCCAGGGATAGATCTTAAGTCAGGACAAGCTGAGTGCATAAAAAGGTTGTTTTTTTTCCATCAAGATGTGCTGGGTGTTCTTCCTACTGGCTACGGTAAGAGTTTAATTTACCAACTTCTTCCGAAACTTTTCTCCGCCATATGGAGGGCTAAACACAACGAAGAAAAACAATTCAAAGTAATAGTTATTAATCCTCTCGAACTGATAAGACGTCAGCAAGTTGAAAAGCTTGTAAAAATAGGAATTAAAGCTGCAACTTTGGAGTCATGTTCTAGCCAAAACGCGTTTGATGCAGAAATCATTTTTGGAAGCGCTGAACAGTGGCTATCTGAAGAATGGAAAAAGGAACTTAAGGGTGGATGTCTGAAAGACGTATCTGTGCTAGTGGTCGACGAAGCGCACACTGTTGAAACTTGGTGAGTGCTTAGACAAATGAGGCGCGACATCGTAATGCATGTAACATACATACATAATCCATGTAGAGTACAAACACTAAAACTGTGAAACATAAATACCACAAAATACGGCTAAATTATTCTAATTCTCTTGTTTAATTAACACTATTTTGTAGTAAATAGTGGAAAGTGCTGCACACATTTAATGTTTGTGCTCTAATATGCATATTAGTTAAGTTAATGTATATTCTAAAAGATAGTAATATTTTTGCATTTCTATGTTTTTATAGGGGAAAGGGAAAAAAAAGGAAGGCTGCATTTAGGCAAGCCTTTGGTCAAGTTAAAGACCTGCGGTCTTTTCTTGACCAAAAGCCACTTCTAGCCCTGACTGCCACAGCAGATGTTGATATGAGAAAACGTTTATGCAGCCACTTGGCTTTAAAAAGTCCATACCAAATCGTCATTAGCCCCAATAATGAAAATATCCGGTTYACTGTGGTGAAAACAGACAAACATCTCTCTTGTTTTGATTGGTTAGTGGAACTGATAGCATCTGAACAACAGAACAYTCCATTTACAATTATATTTTGCCATACTGTTAATGATATAGTACTGGTTTTCAGCACTTTGCTAATGAAGCTTGGTGAAAAAGCATACATTGCTAGTCCACTTGAACTGTCGAAAAGATGTTTACTTGGAGTATATTACTCTGCAACTCCCACTTCATTGAAGGAGAAAATATGTGATTCATTTGAAGGAAAGGAAGGATGTACAAGAGTTGCAATAGCATCCACTTCATTGAGTATGGGTGTGGACTACCCCAACGTCAAGTATGTTATCAACTTTGGGCCTGGACGAAGTGTCACAGATCATCTTCAGCAGGCTGGTCGTGCAGGAAGAGACTCCTCAAGTGCATTTAACATTATAACTTACCTTGGCAAACACTTGAGAGACTGTGATTCATCTATCAAGAATGTCATCACAAAAAATGAATGCATAAGAAAGCTGCTACTATCAACCTTTGTGAATGAACCTGTACAGTCTGTTCAACCATTGCATAACTGTTGCAGTAGATGCCACCTCAATTGTAAATGTGGTGATACAGAGTGCCTTGTTCCATTGTTCAGTTTTGACAAAATAGACGAGGATAAATCAAAGACCAATGCTAGTGGAAGAATTGTTACTGAAACTGACAGAAATTGCTTGAAAGATGCATTGCAAGAAATGAAACTCACTCTCAGTTTTCAGTCAGGCTTCACATTGTTCGACCATACTGGGGTCATCACGCATGGACTGTCAGATAGTATCATTGACTCTCTGGTTTTGAATTGTGAACAAATCTTCAGTGTTGCAGACTTAATAGACGTTGGATTGATAACTTCCCTGAAAGTGGCAGTAACTGTTCTTGAAGTATTTAATGAAATCTTTGAAGATGTTGAACTAAGTGATGACCTTCATGAACTAGCTGAACTGTCAAGCTCAATGTACAACAATGTCATGCATGAGTAATTAACAACACATCTTAAAATTACTAAGGCAGTAAGTATCTTCCAATATCAAGTTTTATTTTCTTGATACAATGTATGTTTACATTTTGTTTTTGTTTTAATGCAATTGCTATGTACTATAGAGTTACTATTTTTTGAAAACAAATTTTGATTGTAGTTTTTTACAATATTGTATTGCATCATCACATTTCTAAAAATTACAATATACCTTTAGAATGTATGTTATGGAATTATGACCTATTCATAGGAGTTTCATATATTGCTTTCCAATGCTTAAAATGATTTCGAGCCCATAAAAAGAAATCTCTATAATCTAACACAACGCTATCATTAATTTTTTTAAAGGAATTATATCCTTGTCTACCAGGAGAAAAATAAAAAACATTTCCTTTTACAAGATCATTTACAATAGTTTTKACTGTTTCAATATTTTGTTTGTTACCATGGTAGCCTGATTGGTAAAGCTTGYCACAGTCTTCATATATTTTATCCATAATAGTATTCAAGATTGTGAGGCTTCTGGCATAGCGTTGAGAGGAGGCTGCCTCTGTGATGTTACCACCCATTGACTTTAACAATTTCTTAAGATCTAGGTTAAGATGCTCCATTTGTAAATCAAGGGGTACATTGTTTCCCTTTCCCCCTTTCTTATTCATAAATCTATTATTAATAAGTAAAAATGCATCTTTTTCTGATAAAAGTGAATAGATGTTAGCMAAAAAATGAAGCAGAAGATAGGCATATTTTGTATGTCCAAACTTGTATTCAAACAGTAAGATAAACTTGTAGCATCGCACAATTCTCAGRCCATCCCCCTCTTTTATGGCATCAAGAAGATTGAGGAATAGTAATCCACATTGTAATCGAGCACTATGGTAATTAAATACTTTGTCAGATTTGCATGTATCTTTTTTTGTTGTCTTCATGTGCTTCTTGAGTATTGCTGATCTCCAGTTGGTGCTGAACTTTTTMATGTCTGTAAATTCAAAATGAAAGGATTACAAGGTGTTGTAGTCCTTTTGATAGATACAGGTACAACTGGTGGGTGTTTTAGCTACATGAACCTAGCAAAATATTGAAAGTGTGAGAAAAAACAATTAAGAGCAACTGCCAGTGAGAGAAAAACTAATTAGAGGACTTTCAACAGTAGCATATGGCCACACATTCCTTACTTTTTTGCTTCACTGGGTTTTCAAAGGAGTTAACACTACCACTTATGTGACACATGTTAGGACAAACCTTTTTCTTGTAGCATTTGTAGTGAAGACGAGAAAGCAGCCATCATCTSGACACTTGTAGTATCCCAATTCATCTCTGTCATTGTCACCACCGGTAGCCACAACTAACTGAGGGTGTTGAGCAATTTCATGCCTGTTGTTACAATGCAAGTAAAAGTTATGGTCATATGGGGTTTATTCAACATTTACTTGCTTTGATATTTTTCCCTGAATATTTTTCCCTGAAATGTATTTCATGGAGTGCACAAATCTGATAAAACAGTCACAGCAGGAGTAGATTATTGGTTTTGATAGTTCTGAATTTACCTCAGCAAAGGTGTTGACTGTTGTTACAAAAAATGTATAAAAAAAAATTAAGCAAAACAAGGAATTATTTTTTAAATAAATTATTATTTACCTAACTCTTTGTGAATGGAGAGGAAATGACTTTTCACAATCATCACTTCGACAAGTAAAACCCTCCCTGTGTAGTGTATCCAACTGAACRATTTTTTCAGGCACTTCATTAGTCCTTGAGAGGTGCTCAGCAAGAAATCTTTCAATTTCAATTTCAAGCCATTCTTTTTTTCTCTCTCTGGTCCACATTTTTGACTCAGAAGGAATGGGTCTTGYAACAGGATCATCTACAATGACAAGTTTACATTAACATGAGGTTTTGTAAAGTACTTTGGATTCCCATGTGACACTTCATATTCAACTTCAGTGCATATCTCAATTTCAATTTTTGTCTTACCATGTAAGGTAGCCATTCCAGCAAATTGCATCCATGCAGCTACAATATGGGCCTCAGATTCCCGATCAAAAAACTCTTTGTAGGAATTGTAATCTTTTTCAGGTCCTTTCCTGGCATTGGTCTTCCCAGTCCTGTTCATGGATGCATAGCTGGTGCCAATCTCAGCTGCAGAACTTTCCTTTGCAAATAACTTGAAAAATATCTAAACAATATAATTAGCAACTACTAAGGGTTAATCCCCAAGTKTATCTTATTGATTCAATGTCCTTGCTCACACTRTGCATTTTGTTTTTATTCAGTAGCTGCTACAGAACTCTCCCAATTCACATGATGACTGATAACAACATTCATGCAAATTTGTGCCATGCAAATATTGAAATTCTTGTTATTCTGTTATTATATTATTTATGATATTTGTAAGCATATTTTAGTGAGTAATGTTTTTTTTTGTAATCACACTAATGATTGTTCATATTTTCTACTTACATCCAATAAATTCTTTCCAAGATGCCAGTCTGCAAATGAGGTTTGTAGACCAGAGATTTTGTCATAGTGTGAGTCTGCAAGTGTGTTTGCAATTTGGGCATTTCTTGCTCTTTCYTCTGTGAGCTGGTCACCATCCAAAATAACCTTTTGAAGTATGATCTTCTCATCTCCAATGACTGCAGTTGGCACAAACTTTTCTTGAATATTCTGAAGTATTGCTGCCATTTCAGCAGCCATGTTGGAATTTTTGAATTCCAAACCCAAACAGCACTGTTTGTAAAATAAGATTTCATGGACAGTATGAATTGGACAAACACATACACATAGCAAAGAAAATGAAGGGTATTGATGATGATATATAATATGAACATTAATATATTCTGCCCTTGGGAATTTTCCAGAAATTATTACATGTAGTCCCATGCACAGAAGGACCTGTTATTCTATATACATGGCATGTGAACTTACCACTTCAGATTTTCTAGTCATTTGAGAAGAATAATGATGCTGTATGTGGTGTACCACTACATTTGAAAAGCASTTGTAGGCAKGTAAATRATCAACAAGAATTCTAGGTATTAGGAACTTTAAATCAGAAATAAATTCTTGCTGAACTTCATGCGTTGGTAAAAACTCTTTCATCTCCAATGTGTCTAAACTCTTTTGTGGCTCCACTGACAATGACACATCTGCATGCACACGGTCCTTCACAGCATATTCATGAAACCAGTGAATAGATTTGTTGGTAGTTTTTTGGTTTTGAATTCTTGCAAACTGTTCTATGTCAACATTGTCATCAACAATCCTGGTAGAATAAGATGGTTTTCAGATACAGGCTTTAAATCACACACACACAAAAAAAATTACATATTGATTTCTTTTTCCAGAAGAGAACTTCCAGTAAAAGAGTGAAACAATAATTACTAAATTGTGCACAAAAATAGTTRAACAAAGAATAGCATGATATACAAAATAGTTTTATTGATTTTTTGTGCTTTTACTAACAGCAGTCTATTGTTTTGACCCKGGCCCAGGTTTTGATGAAATTTATAGTTTTTCAAACACAAATTAAAAGATGTAGTTAGCAATCCAGAATAATTATTCTACTAATGGATGTATGAAATTAATAGAATAGAACATTCCCTTTCACTTTAGTGGGATGTAAGCAAGAACTATTCACAGGAAATTTGCTTTATGAGTATTGCAGTGAATTGTAAATAACATTTCACCAAGCTTATGTGAACAGTTAATTTAGTGCATGTGTGAGCTCAAAAAAATATTGTATAAGCTTAATTATTATTCATTATTTGAAGTACCTGTATAATGGAAGGTCCTCACTTTTTAGTTGCATTAAGACTTTTTGAACATCAGAATCGTCAAGAGATGAGTATGAAGSAAGTAAGGATACACAGAATTCAAAGGTTGTGTTATTATAGTGCTTGTAGCCTTTAACRGTCTCCAAATCCAGGTTTATGCTGCAGAGATCCATGCCATCACCCAAACACCCTGTTTGCCTTTTGATAACCTCTTCAAGAAATAGTATGGCCTTTCTATTCTTTTCAATCTTTTTCTTCCACTGAACGATTTCTTTGTCAAAATGGTTAGCACACGCTTGAACTTGGTTTCTGATGGTGTTCGGGTGGCAAGATAGCCCCAATCWATGTACCAAATYMATGGCTTCGGTCTTGCATCYGCCRTGAATAAGGATAGCATTCAAGCGGTAGATAAATTTGGAKCGTGGCATCCATGTATTTAGAAAGGAAGACAGCGTAAGAGCATGTTTGTTTGCCAAGAACGACCGTGYGGACTTCGCACATCCTTTGATTATTTCTGTCAAAAGCGGTAGCTTGAMCTYGGCTTCCTCAAGCAAACTCTCACTTGAGTATTCACTCAAATCGAGAGGCTCGCCAGTGTATTTACCATATGGTGTGGGTCCTTCACTGTAATTCCTCATCTCCTTCCTCAAAAGTTCGATCAATTCCTTGACAACTTCCCGACGGAATGGAGGGAATTTTAGGGCTGCATTCGCGGCTGCACGGTAGTTCTCTTTGCATATATTCTTTACAAAAGCGCTTTCTTGTTTATCCTCGCAGCTCCTATCTGAAACTCTTGAGGAGCCGGGATAACCCACGAAGACCTTTGGAATAAAGAATTTAATAGAAAATCAATAAATAATCTGTATGGCAACAAAACGRGAGATCTAACAAATATCACACCTTGACTAATGGTGGTTGTGTCGAAAATATTTCAACAGGGAGATTCATTAAACTTGAAATGTGGTCGTCAATTGCTTCGTACTCATTGCGAGAATCTGTATTGGTAATGGATTTTCCAAAAAGTTCCTTTTTGGATGACAATCGTGCTTCTCGATGATCGCAAGTTGGTGGCTTGCTTCGTTTCGAAGTTGGAGTAATTCCTGTTGGCGTTCGGACAGAAGTCGGTCTTTTCGTTAATTTGCTGTTAGGAGTTTCTTGAGATTTTCTTGCAATGAACTCATCTCTTATTTCTGTGTAAGATTTGAAACAATTTGCAATTTTTCTGGCACATCGYTTGCAGACAGAGCCTCCAGTTCCAACATCAAGAGAAATACCAATTTTCCGAATTATATTGGCCAGAATCACCGTTTCCGAACCAACTAACGAGCATATGTCTTTGTTTGTTGTTGCAGAGAACAAGGGAACAGTCGATGGTTTACATCCATACTTTACACGCAGATTTTCTTTGCAAAGATTACAAATTATGGCTTTTCCGTCCGATCTTGACGACATGTTNACAACTATATTTAGTCTCGGCTTTACAGTTTGTACAAAACCGCACTGAAGACATCAGGAAGATTTGCTTTCACTGATTTACACTGCAATACTTAAAGCACAGAATCAAGACTAATGCATTCATGTGAATTTACTGTATTTGAGTACATGTACTTTTGTCGCGTTTATTATCCATTAACCGTTATCTTGTCTGGGATCTGAATACGCTAATTGCACACCTAATAAAACAAAATTATGCTAATTCGTTTCTACGGGTTGCGCTTACTTATTGTGTCTCCTTTTCGATATCAACTACACAACAGTACAATGGCTCAAGAAATTATCAATGTAAACTCATTTATTCGTGGATATCATGAATACCAGGATGAATGGGAACCGACGCTGGGCGATGTTTATAAACTCATGCGTGAACCAGACAATGTCAAAGACTCGAATGCTGTAGCCGTCGTAAAAGAAAAATCCGGAGAAGTAGCGCCACCTTCGACATCAACTGCTAATTCCCATCCAAACAATGTCACTGACAAATTCGAAGTTATTGGTCATATTCCGAAACTAATGGCTATATGGGTAAGCAAGTTCCTAAAGAGGCCTACCAACTGTGGAAAAGTAGTCATCAAGGGAAAACGGGTCAACAGAGGTGGTGGTTTTGGACTTGAGATTCCATGTGAATATAACTTCGAGGGTGACAGTTTCTCGACAAAGTGGTTAAAGGCTAAGTTAATCAAGGAAGAATTTCTTCAATAATCCAATAAAGTTAATCTTTTATCGAAATTTGTCTGATTCGTGTCATAATACACCAAATTTGTAGGCAGTCAGTTTTTAGCTGTCCGCTTAATAGAGGTGAAATACAATGGAAGTTTACCAATTGGGACGTCCATATGGTGTCCGCGTCCGCTTAATAGAGGTGACCGCTTAATAGAGGTCAGATTTACAGTAAACATTAGGGGAAAAATTCGGGACTTAAACAAATGTCCGTTGAATAGAGGGTGTCCGCTTAATAGAGGTCCGCTTAATAGAGGTTCGACTGTAGCTCTCTTGATTTCCCGACTTAAATGCTTGCTGTCGCTGTTTAACTAGACGCATAACTGCGTAAACTCGGGGTTCTTGTTGATAAAATAGTAGTGAATTTGGTAAGGCTCGTTTACACTTGCGTGTTTGCCATAAATTTACTATATAATTCGCTTTTGATAAGATGGGTAGCTAGTTTGATAGACAATTCATGATATGCAGTAATATAAATATCACAATTTTAATAACTTAAAAGTCATTCAGAGAAATTAAAAAAATAACTGTGTCTACGCCAACTTCGTATTATTAAAAGAACATGAACAAATATCAAGACAATAACAACAATCTTATTATGTCATTTTACATGTAAGACAAAATTAAGATAAACCTCTTTTGACAGATTCGATGATAAACAACCCATCTTAGCTTTCTACTTTTGTTATGTAAGCGTATTAGAAATCGTTTTGGTATCCTACTGGGCTCTCGACTACGACTACAACGTACATGTCGATAATTATAATAAACAAACCTTGAATAACGAGATCTTGAAGTACTTGTAATGTTTATTGTAACTTCTGCATCATTGTATACACCATAAACAGTCATACAAATAGTTTTATCTAAGATATCACAATCACTAAACGATGAAGTGACAATACTCTGAGTGTAGTTATCGAAGAATTGGACTGTATTGAACCCTAATAAAGTTAATATCAATACTATCATAAGGGTAAAGCAAAAAATATTTCCTTGAATGAAAAATAATAACAGAAGCAATGTAGTTAGCATTAAGGAAGAATTGATAGTCTTTGTCAAGCTCTCCTCACTTTGATAGTCACGTGGCAGGCTATAAAGACAGAGTCTTTTATCCTCTCTGCTAAATAAAATAGTTGCAATCGTCGGTTTTTCCTCAGTGAATTCTGTTCGCATTCCTTTTAGAGAAGTCCTTTGTATTTTCAGAGCCTGTAGAATCAGATACTATAGAGTTCGCTTTTGATAAGATTGGTTCGAATTTCACGATAAGTTTCACGATAAATTTCAAGATAAATTCGCGGTATCTCTCAAAATGCCCTTTCGAAAAACGCTCGACATCTTTTAGTGTCACTATACGGCGAATGGTGTGTGGATTTGTAAGAGATTTGACACCTCGACGACACCATAAGATAGCACATGGAAGTTGTGAATGTCACGTGATTCGTACCCAGTGCATTCTARTTTGGCCGAGACAATTTGTGTACCAAATGCGACAAAGAAGGCCGAAACCTAAACTCGGCGGTTCCACAGGAACCCCGGGTAATAAGATGTTTGAATTCGGGTGTGACCCAGGGCGGGTCATTTATATGAAGATTGGAACAATTGATGGGCATAATGTTATCGAGACCAATTTTCGCTAAGTTCTCCAACAGGGTGGTCATTTCATCACAACTAAACGAATTAAAGATAGACCAGTCAATAGAGGCGAAGTATCTCCCAAGCTCAATCCTCCGACTCTCACGGGTGTCGCCTTATCAACTAGTTGTTTTAACTTGAACTGTGAAGTCAATCGAGAGATATCAAGCCAATTGAAATCACCGCACAACAAAATTCCACATCCAGGGTAAATCCCTTCAATAGATGTAAGTGTAGCAGTCAAATAGTCTAACATAGCCCTGTCCTCGACGAATTGTGGATGATAGACGGATCCTGCTATTACACAGGGTACCCCTCGAGGTAGCCTTGATGNTAGTACATTCACAGTTTTGCTCACAGTTTTTTTTTCATATTCCTTATTTTTTTATGAATATTTGCAAATTCCTATTATTGGTTAACTTTTTTTTTTTTGCAAAAATTATGAGAATTGTCGAAATATCTAAATATCATAATATCGAGTTTTTTTTGGGTAATCCCGCGCGATGCCCTTAGTCTCTTGTCTTTGTAGTTTAGCTTTTTTTTTTTTTAGACTTATACGTAGTTCTGAACATTTTCTCGATGTCAACAATGAATTTTTCTTTTTTTTTCGCGTGTTCTGGACAATATATGGATATGGATATTATGATATTTAGATATTTATTTTTTTTTCATAATTTTTTCAAAAGGCTGTAAGCTTAATATCATCAGAATAATGCATATTTTTTTTTCTGTCTTGATCATCATCAACATCATCATCATCATCATATTGCTGGAGGTGAGTTTTTTTTTCTGTGATATCTGTCTTTGATGATAGCTGTTCTTGATGAAAATTTTGTATTATTTTTTTTTTTTGCTGTCTTGGGCAGGATGGAAGCCCATCTTCTGTTTTAGTTGTGTCTGATTGTGATCATCACCTAATGAATTAAATTTTATAGATTTTGTTTTTAACAAATATTCTTATATGTTTGAGTGTGTGGAATATCAGAATGCACCTGCAGTTATTGTAGAATAGTCCTCATTTTTTTTTTGTCTGTTGTATATTGCTTCTGGCATAGAATCTGGACAGATGATGCAGGTCTTATCATCATCTTATTCATACTTTAAAAAATCATCACCAAAAGTGGAAGTCATGAGTTGGTCAATGATCTTGATCCACAAGATGTCCTCTTTGGTCCAGCAGATCTTCTTTTTTTTCCAGCCACATCCACGGAAAAAGAAATCATAGTTGTTTTTCTTTCCTATAAACAAACCAAGATTCCAAAATAGTTTGTTATGGAATAATGAACAACAACAGTGAACATATCTCACAGTGTGTGAGACAGTCAAAGTTATTAAGATATTAATGTCTTGCTTTGTTAAATTCCTGTCTAGAATTCTGGCATTTTATTAAAATTATTACCATGGTGGCCTTGTACAACCCTGAGTGCTTCGCGGAAACAATAACGCAAAAACAAGGTTTTCTCTGAATAGAAGTGTTTCAGGATCTGCTCAACTACAAAAAAATCACTTAAATCAAAATTAATGAGTTAAAGCATTTCATTTGCACATTCCCTTTGATTGAGTTGTACTACCAGCAAATGCAATTATGCAGTGTCATTTGATATTTAAGCTAAAAAAGTATAAGAAGAAAATGTCAACATACTTGATGATGCTTCCCCGTTACAATCATGATTGGAGGACTTCAACCACAGTTGTCGCTGGTCTTTGTGTGAAGCCTCAAACCCCTGTTGACTGTATTTTGTCATTGACAAAAATCTTCTCATCAACATAGGTGCATGGTCAATTAAAAGGTGGCCATAATCTCCCATCCCAAGGCTGCTTCAAAAAGTTATTTCAAGTTATAGCCCCATTCTTTGCACTATTACAACGTAAAGATATAATAATACATTATAAGTCAATGTGAGCATAGTTATATATAATTTTTTTTTTTTTCAGCTCTGATATATTTATTATCAAATGAGAACAAATCTGACCTTGATATTTTTTTTCTCAATTTTGCTTTGCTCACTTTCTTCATAAATCCTTTTTCGAGTTATTGTTTTTTTTTTTTTCCACTCTCTGCATACCTGAACATGTACCAGGAAAGATAAAAAATTATTACATATTGAAGTTGTACTACATAATTTCCTTTTTATGATTTTTCCTGTTTTTGACTACATGTTTTTTTTCTTTGATTCAAAGAAGATGTACACAT